GCTCAAACCTTGAGAAAGCAACGGCTGTAGCTAATTAAACAATTCTTCTGTTCTCACACTACTGTTCATTATAGACTAAGCAAAAAGCCTCCAAAAGCGCACCACCTGTAGCTTTGGCTGATAAGGTTCCTTCAAAGCAACGCTAGCGTACATGGAAAGGAATGCAGTTAACTATGAGCGCTGGAGGGTGAGGGGGGACATGCGCACCAGAGTGTAAGCCAGTGAAGGGAAGGCAAGATAGAAGGGGGTTGAAACACATCTCATATACACGGAAAGGACATATTGGCAGCTTGCTGACATACTGCCCCCTCAAAAATCCATTTACCATCCACCTCCCGGTCAGGGCGGGAGACCTCCCGGTTTCCCTGGGAACTCCCGATAAAACTTTCTGAGCATGTTAGGGGCCTGAATATCCCCTACTTCCACCCATTCGAGGTGCTGGGGTCCAAAGTCCTTCCATTTAATCAAGTAAAGCAATTTTCCACGTTTCAGCTTAGAGTCCAGGATCTTTGAAATTTCGAAATGGGTTTCCCCCTCCACCAAGATAGGAGCAGGAGGGGAGCGATCATCCCGCCACTGGCAAGACCCATTGTCTTTCTTCAGAAGGCTGAAATGAAAAACAGAATGTAAAGATCTCAAGTTCTTAGGCAGTTCAACATCAGCAGCCACCTCATTGATGACCCTGCGCACTTTGAAGGGTCCAATGTATTTCCAGCCAAGTTTACGGCTGGGCCGCAACAGTTTAATGTTCTTTGTAGACACATACACCAAATCACCAGGCCGTAGAGCCCAACCCTCCACCCTACACCTATCGGCCTGTTTCTTGTAGGCAGCTTTGGCTGCATTCAAAGTTTTACAGAGCACGGGCCAAGCCTCTTGCAGAGTCTTACACCAGGAATCAGCATCACCATTTCCCACCTCTGCTTCCCCCTCCAAAAAAGGCATGGGGGGACTATCATATCCATAAATGGCTTTAAAGGGAGACATCCCAATGGATGTGTGGCACGTGTTATTGTAACAATATTCAGCAAGAGGCAAGAGATCACACCAGTCATCCTGTTGATAGTAAAGCAACGGAGATATTGTTCTAAGGTTCGGTTGACTCTTTCCGTCTGCCTGTCGGTCTCCGGGTGGTAGGCGCTGCTCAGCCCCCTTTCCACCCCCATAATACACATGATTTCCTTCCAAAATCTGGAAACAAATTGTGTCCCCCTGTCAGAAACCACCTTGGTTGGCAACATGTGGAGGCGCACAATGTTTGAGCCTTGGCCATTGGTACCGACGGGAATGGGACAAAGTGTGCTTGTTTAGAAAATAAATCAACAACAACCCAAATAACAGTCTTATTTCTGCTAGGCGGCAGATCAGTTATAAAATCCATGGAGATCACCTCCCATGGCCGGTTAGGCATGGGAAGAGGTCACAACAGGCCCCGCGGCTCCCCCCCAGGTTTGCTCATTGCGCAGATTTGGCATGTTTTTACAAACGCTGAAAGATCTTTGCGCATGTGTGGCCACCAGAATTGTTGTTGTAACAGTTGCAAGGACTTTACAAAACCAGAATGCCCCGCCAATTTAGATCCATGAACTGAGATCATCACTTCTTTTCGAAGAGTTACCGGTACATACAGCTTATAGTTTTTGTACTAGCAGCCGTTCACCCCTCTTTTACAATCTTCCAACCCCCCAGCCATGATTGTTCCTCGTCAGACAGCTCTGCCTGGAAACGTTCCACCCAGATAGGCGCGGGAGGGGTTGGCGGGGAAGAGGCGGGGAGTTTAGCCGCTTGGCTGCGTGTGGTGACCGCGCCCCCCAGTTGGGCGGGAGTGAAAACTGAGTCCAAGATGACGTCCCGTTGACTCGCATGTTGGGGGAGGCGGGACAACCCATCAGCTAGCGAGTTCGCAGAGCCCGGAAAATGGTGAAGTGTGAACTGGAACTTAGAAAAGAAATCAGCCCACCGCAGCTGCTTGGCATTAAGGCATCTGGGGTTTTTCAAGGTTTCTAGGTTTTTGTGATCAGTCCATACCTCAAACGGCACCCTGGCCCCCTCCAGCCAATGCCTCAACGTTGACAACGCCAGTTTAATAGCCCCCGCCTCCTTCTCCCACATGGACCAATGTCTTTCAGAGTCACTAAATTTCTTAGAGACATATGCCAGTGGGTGTAGCAACCCTTCTTCCCCTTCTTGGAGTATTGCCCCCCCCCATCGCAACGTCGGATGCATCCGTTTGTACAATGAATTTTTTGTTTTCATCGGGATAAGCTAATACGGGCTCTGAAGTGAACAAGTCTTTTAAACGCATGAACGCCTCATGGCATTCGGGCGAACATACCAGGGGCGCACTGGGTTTTGTGGCATCCGGCCCCTTCCCCTTTGTTTTCAATAAGTCAGTCAGGGGAAGGCAAATCTGGGCAAAGTTCGGTAGGAAGGTTCTGTAAAAATTGGCGAATCCGAGGAAACTTTGTAGTTGCCTCCTTGTTCTCGGGGCCTCCCACCCCAACACATCCTGTACCTTCCCCGGATCCAGCTCTAGCCCAGTCCCTGAGATGCGATAACCCAAAAAGTCAATGTGTGTTTTATGGAATTCGCACTTGGAGAGTTTGGCAAACAGTTTGTGCTTGTGCAACGTACTCAGAACTTCTCTCACCAACTTCGCGTGGGAGGTTAGATCGGGGGAATAGATTAAAATGTCATCCAAGTAAACAAGCACCCCCTTAAACAAATGTTTATGCAACACCTCGTTGATCAGATTCATAAAGACCCCTGGGGCCCCTTGAAGACCGAAGGGCATCACGAGGTACTCGAACTGCCCCAATGGAGTGTTGAAGGCAGTTTTTACTTCATCGCCTTCCTTGATGTGCACTCGGAAATAAGCGTCTCTGAGATCGAGTTTGGAAAATATTTTCCCTCTTGCCGCCTTGGCAAGTAGATCTTTAATTAGGGGCATCGGGTATGCGTTAGTGGCTGATACAGCATTCAAACCCCTGTAGTCCATGCACAGCCTCAATCCCCCGTCCTTCTTTTTCCGGAATAATACAGGCGCTGCAAAGGGGGAGGAGGCTGGGCGGATGAAGCCCCTGGCCAAGTTCTTATCTATGAATTTTGGGGGGGCGGGGGGGGGGGGTCGAGTTTAGCTCCTGCATCTCGGGGTGGTGGGGAGCCCACCTGTTTGGGCCAGCCATGGATCCGGTGTTCCCCAATCCATCCCAGGACCCAAGTCAAGAGGATGGCATGGCCTCGGACGACTTCGACATTGTGATTGAGGCCATGCTGGAGGCCCCGTACAAGAAAGAGGAGGCCCAGCCTGGACCATCAAAGCCTCCAGCTGACCCCCCCACAGTGCAGCCCCCCAGGAGGAAAAAGAAGAAAAAGAAGTCAAGAAAGACAGCACCTCCAGCAGTAGCGGAGAAAGCAGCAGCAAAAAGAAGAGGAGCCAGAGCAGGAGCCACGACCACAGACACAGCCGCAGTCGGGACCGAGACCGCCATCGCAGGCGCAGCCGTAGTCGGGACCGCTGGCACCGGAGCAGAAGCCGCCATCGGAGCCGGAGCCGAGATCGTAGGTGGGGCAGCCGTTCCGGCAGCAGAGAGCGCCGGAGGGATGAGAGAGTGCGCTACCGTAGCCCCCCACCTCCTGGGTGGCGGTTCGGACATAGCAAGAGTCCCTTATACAGAGAGAAGAGTCCCCTCCGGGAGCCTTTGGGCAGCCTGAGCCCAGAGGAGCGTGATGCCCGTACTGTCTTCTGTATGCAGCTGGCTGCCCGCATCCGCCCCCGTGACCTTGAGGACTTTTTCTCTGCTGTTGGCAAGGTACGTGACGTTTGGATCATCTCTGACAGGAACTCCCGTCGTTCGAAGGGCATCACTTACGTGGAGTTCTGCGACATCCAGTCT